GAGCCGACTTGCGATAAAGCTTATAAAAGCTTAGCTTTTATGCCGGCTACATTTAGTGTGAAATCGACTTTGTCTTCGACTTCGGAAATTGGATATCTTGACAAGTTTCCAGCCTTCAACAGCCTATAAACAGTTTGTACGAATGACAAGAACTTTTTAGTCCGTTCGAACATGTGTTTAATGGTTGGGTATATATATATATATATAGTCAGGGTATATTTTATTGCACAAAGACCGCCATGGAACATTTTAATATAAAGCGCCAAATGAAAATTTACATTCACGCACGCTTCAGAAATTTGAATAAATTGGAGTTAATTTACCCAAAACGTAAAACGGATATGACGTACGCCGGGCAAGCTTTTCTTCGTTTATTCGTAGACCCCTCACGAAACGTGTTTCTGTTGGGGTCTACACCGTAGGCTATAAGTTTGAAGACTGAGATTGGAATTACAAAGTTACCAATACAACTATTCTGCGTATCTCGTTCATGGATAGAACTGAATATAGAATTTGGATAGAACTGAACGTAAAAGGGATTTTTGTAGTGAAATGTCGTAAATTTATATAATTTTGGTCGTAACGGGGAGTGTTCCTGCTGGAAGGCGGAGGCCCTGCTTTCGGTTAGGTTAGGAATTTTCGTTCGAAAATTCAATCTACAAAAACATAATTAAAATACATTTAATTAAACTGATGCCCTATCCCAGCTGTAATTTTGTGTTGGTTTATGATGTATGAAAAAGAAATCTTACCCGTGGCCTCTCCTGTTCCTTCAAGATACAGTCCGTTGTTGTACGGTTCATTGTTGTTTGCATAAGGAAATGAACGACGCAAGATTTTCCCAGGAAATGGCGCCATCACAATACTTTCTGGTGTACACACTATATCACTCCCTTTATGTGTACGACTGCCTCTGAAATAAAGCAAGGACAGGACCGTTACAAGTGTTAGAGAATTTCCACCGGATAGTTTACTTTTTAGTTAGAATATCAACATCAATGAAGGCAGAACAGTTTAGACAGAACGATGTACTAGATGTGTTCAACAAAATTTGTTTGCATGCAAGGCGGAGTATGAAGTTCCTGCAAGGTTGTACTCACAATTTCTTGTCAAGTTGTTGAAAATCAGTACGATAACAATTTGTTAGAAAAATTTGTAACAAGTCGAAAATTAAATGCGTCAACCTACTCGAAACTTTCTGAAAATATTGTCAAAAAGAATTTCTTTAATCAAAACAATTACTTTAGTTCAATCCATAAAAAACGATGTCGAAAACCATTTCTTTCATCAAAACGATTTTGATTTGTTACAGGTTTGGTTTGTTACAAATTGTACCTGTGATCTCTATATACATGAATAATATTACATTAATAAGAACACGCGTGACATTGCAGAGACGTACTAGCCTGAACATGGCAACGGTACAACGTATAGCACTAACCTTGATGCTCCATAATAACCACATCCTTGACTGTCACAACCACGAACTCTATTTGCACAATTTGAACTACAAAGCTGTCCAAGTTTTAAACTTTCAACTGCACTTTCTAGAAACATGAATAAGTTGACGTAATTCAAATAACAAGAGCCAAGAGGAGTTGTGAGAACAGACAACATTTCAGTAGAAAAGAGGTGGGAGATTTGTCTCGCGATGTATATGCATGAACGGAAACAAGATTATATATACTAGAGGTGCGTCTATCTTGTTTGTCAAATGTAGAGACAAATAACCCGATGAATAAACTATCTTAAAGTTTGCTATGCGTCCTCACTATAACTAATATTAGCGTGTAGACGAACTATTATAGCGGTTCGTCTTTACGCATAATGCGTCTTGTGCCGAAGATGAATAACCAGTGAACAACAAGTATGCCGTCGTCCAAATTCGTCCATGCAGGTGGATAATCAGGGCTATGTGCGAGTTAAATAATTAGCTATAAACAAAATTACAAAGAGAACAGTTTACAAGAATACCTGAAAGTACGAGAAAAAACGCGAGAAGCAAAAGGCTCCTAGTCTGAATCATCTTTGTCTCTTGATCACCTCTGAAATGACCCCTAGAAAATACTCAATACGCGCTTTATAATCTCTCATTTACTCATCCACGTGTTTTTAATTGCGCATTGAATGATATTGCCTCATCGAGCATTCCATCCGTTTGGGCGTTTCACCGCCACTGTCACGATGCAAATAAGTGATCTTTTAATCTAGCGGAAAATACTGATAGAAAATGGTCGAAACGAAAGTCGTGAAGATTATAATATACGGAACATTATTGATGATTATTTCTGATGCAAATATGAAATTTCCGTGACACTTGACTGAATACCTACTACGTCTCGCCTCTTGAAAGTTTCCGTAAACAAAATTCGTTATATTTGCTTTAGTGTGAAAACCATTAAATACCTTAAAAATAGCTACAAGATACATATTTAATTATACACACCTTTTATTTCAATAGGCTATATAGCCTCTCAAAACTATACTGATTTTCCAGAGCTGGAAACGTATACGAATTATATATATCCAAAGTTAAAAAAAGAGTAAAATATTGCAAAAAAAGATTAAGAAAACACTGAGAATAGGAACGCATTTTCCCACGATATTGTTCAGTTATTAATGCGGTCATTAACAGATATCATGAATACAAGATTGTGGGGAATTAAAAGTAATTATAGCGTAAAGAACCCACTGATCTAATCAGTGAAAGAACCACATTAGCTTTATATGGTGAAAACGGAATCAAATCCAGTTGTGTTTTATCAGTAAAACTTACATCTACATGTGTTAAGTCGGTAAAATCCTTTCGAATATCACCAACTAAAGTGAATCACGAAGATTCCTAGTTCCTGATTTCGTTTTTAGATATCCATGGCCGGCTTTGACTGTTTATATTTTCAAATTCTTTTAATGTTTATACCAAGTCACCTTTAAACTGACATAATTGTTAGGACCTAGGGCCCCAATAATTGTGCAATGTCCGCTACGTTCAAGTTACAAATATGTTTTCAAAATTTTAATTTCATGATATTATTAACTTACATATGGAGACTAAAAGCTCATTCTCAAGCTGGAAGGAGGTTATGAATTAGCTATGCATGGATACGCGGACCATGTTAATGATGTTATATACATGACAATTCTTGCTGCACCAAAGCAATTACTGGAGTCATGTTTATATTTAAAACTCATTCGCCACGGGAGCCTGATTATTTATCCACCTAACATAATCTGACTAATTTAACCAGGAAATTTAACAGGAATATTAAATTAACCCAAATATGGTTGTTACCAGGTGAACCAAGACGTTTAACGTTAAACAGAGTGCATGAGAAAAATGAGAATAAAAATATCAGTCTCACTGATTTACTGTAATACTGTTTTTCTGTAATACTGTTTAACGTAACATCGGTCCATACCCGAACTTGCGTTGCACGTATATATAAACGTTTTTTTCTTTTGTTTGCTAAAGTTATGTATATATATATCTTAGATCAAGTCTGTTTTACAAATAGTGTAATCAAGGATATACAAACAAGATGTATATCAATGAAAATGTTTTGTGGCAAAGATATCGAGTTACCTTAGTTTTCTTTTGGTCTTTTCTTGTCGGTCAGTATAAAATAATTTCTTGACAAGGAATGAATATTTCTCATATGAGAGGGCAGTGGCTGTGAGGCCAGACCGTGTTCACATAATTTCTGAATTCCTTCCAGGACATTGGTTCCTTTGAATCTAACAAAACAGTTAACAGTCTCCTCGCTGTCTGCTAGCTCGGGCACATACTCTCCTGCTTTGAATCTTGTACTCATCTGTGAATCACATATAAAGATATTATTTCACTATTAAAGCACTATCATGAAGTAGAATTGCAAAGTAGTCATGATTCTCAGAGAAAATAATTGAAAAATGCAACTACTTCAAACACTTCAATGTCAGAGCGAAAGCCTTTCATCCAGAAATTATATATCCTATCTTATATAAACAGAATCTTATAGGATCGTCCAAGACCTTAATAAGATCTCATAGGATCCTATAGTGAAGATCTTAGTGGGATCCTAACAGGATCCTTGCAAAATCCTAAGAGGATCCTAAATATAGGATCCTGTTTGTAATTTCGACCAGTGCATGTAGTAGTTATAAACTAGTTGGTTTACAGTTCAACAAAAATGTGGAACAAACCTTGAATTCAATCTTCTCTAATGATGGTTGTGGATTAGATCCAAACGTCTTTAATGTTTGTGTTTTAATCTTTTGATCTTTCTTCCATTCTTCATTGAATGTCTTTGGGTTGTTCTCAATATCACTATCTTCGCCTTAAAAATATTATCTGTATTATAAATACAAAAATGTCACTTCTGTCTTCTTCCTAAAATTATATGACTGGAATCCAAACTAAAGATTAGTTGATTATAAACTGTCATTAACCCCCCACCCCTCCGCCACTAACATGCATTTTGCCAATTGTGAAAATGTTGAAAATTATGGATGAATGTTTTCTGGCATTCATAGTAAAAATAAAGGAACAATTTGTTGAATTATTAAATACAATAAAATTAAATTAAAAATAGAATTAAATAAAATACATGGTGTAACCACAATTGTTCCTTATTTTTAATTATGGATGAGTTCTGAACTGTAGGCTATACCTGAATCTCTTTTGCGTTTTCTTGAGAGTGGATTTTCGTCAACTTGGTTTAATCTGAAATGACTAAACGAACCCTTGAAAAGAAAATGAATACTGTTAATAAAAGTGCATGCAAATGCAGATTTGAAAATGTAGTATTCATATCTGCAGGCAAATTAATAGAATTGAGAGATGCATCACAAAATACAAACAGTTTATTCATAATTATCAACTGGCATGAACAGATCTTACCTGACTGCTCTTATTTAAGACAAGATCACAAAGAGGACCAACTTTCTTCCCTGTGAGATCTATTTCTTTTAGATTCTCACAACCAAACAAGTTTTCAAGTGCCTGAGAGAGAAATAAACATTCAAATTCTTCAAACATTGAGACATGCCTAATTAGCATTTCTTGCAGCTGAAAGTGGCACAGGATGTAGTTACCTTATAGAAATAAGTTTTGTATGCAGCTTTGACAGTGGACAACAAGACGTGTGAGGAACCAGGGATATGAATCATGTAGATTGATGTTGTTGATAAAAGAAGGTTGGGGTTTTCATTCCAAACTGAGATCCTTGCCAATAACATGTTGTTCTCAGCCAACACACAAACTTTCTATTTGGAGAGACAAAATGAATATTACAACATAGCCAGGAACAAGCCCACTGCAGGATGTTGACTACCTCTGTAAACATTGTCTTGGAGGACTTGATCATGTACTTTCAATCTTTGGCAGACATTACAGGTGCATTTTCAGGTGCATATTTTCTTCACAATCAGTTTTACACAATTGCAAATACAAATAATGGGTCATTCCAGAAAATATCCATACCACCCCAACAGAGGAAATTGGAAGTTAACCCCCCTACCTTTCGTCTCCCCTCCCCCTCCGGACAGCAGAAATTTCCTCCGTGGGGGGAGTGTGGATCTTTTCTGGAACGACCCAAATCTACCAACCAAATTGTCTACTGATAAGCATTGATATATCAATGCTGATAACTAGGAAAAAATTGGCTCGATTCTGATTATCGGTCAATCGCCAACACAATGAATGGCACCACAGGTAGTGTCCATGTTCACTTTGTTCCTTCCATTACCTTGGCAGAAACTCCTCTATATTTACTTACACAGTTTAAATAACTTTTCAATTCTTTATCCATCAGTTCTTCAAATTCTTCAGGATCATTTAAGACAAACTGTTTATCTTTTCCTTTTCCTTTTCAAAGAAGGAACATGTTTCAGATTTCAGTTGTACATAGTGTACAGAAGCAAAGCAGCTTACAGACTGCAGAGTTGGGCACTCTTCGATGAGATCTTGGGTGCACAATGTTAGAAAATTGAAGTGCACATGCACAAAACAGTTCCCAAGGGCACTGCAAGATGCAATGAAGGGCACAAAAGTAGCCAGATACACATTAGAAACAATCAAAATTAGACATTTGAGGGCAGATTAAATTGCAAAAATTATTACAAAGTTCACCCCAGGTGCACTGAAATTTCTGCCTAAAAAATATTGCGTGCAACGTTGACAAACTTTGCAGTCTGGTCTTCCACCCCTCTCCCCCCGCCCCATCTTGCCCCCCTCCCCGAGATATTTATAAATTGAATAAAAAATGTTGAGGGGAACTCGTGCTGGTTTGTGTGTTTTTCTGCAACTAACACGTTTCATTACATGTTCACAACTCTGAAAGTTGCCAATTGCTAGAGCAATCCCCAATTAACATTGTGCCAAGGAAGTAATTTAATTATAATTTATAAAATGTGAACTTCTTAATAGTATTTCTTTATTACACCAAAGTTACGTTTACCTTTTCCTTGCAACTCATAAACATTCCATTTCTTGTTTGTACTACTGTGATAGTCTAAACAATCATATTAATTATTATACTCTATATTCAAGCTGTTTAATAGGTGTCACACTGTCATTCTGTTACATATTCTAGAACAGAATATTTTCACCGCAGTATTTCAACTACTTACGAAGTAGATCCAGTATTTCAAGCTTCCTCAACGAGAATTTGCCACTCTGTTAGAAAACAAATGAAGTTTCAAGAACCAGCACAAATACAAACAAAACACAAAAAATTCTTACCAGAGCATGTTCGACAAGCAAACGGGATAAATAATCCTTGGTATACGAAGATTTTTTTAATTCTCCTGCTAGTTTGTTGTCTACACATATCTTGAACAGTTTATCTTTGTTAAATCTCATGAAAAATGAACGAACAGTTGTATATTCCATTGCCAAGTGTTGCAGAAATATTACACAAACAGAAATTTATTTTGAAATGGCCGCCATCTTTGCAAGCTCGTACCCAGGACCGGAGATTGTAAAACCGCGTCAGGTTTTCGGCCTCATGATCAAGTTTTGCATTTTTTATTACGTACGATCAAAACATGTTTAAATTGTGCATGGATGTTATTATTACTTACACCTGCTATATATATTTACATAAATAGACTACTCGTCCTTATTGTCAACAAGTTGTACAAGAACCCTGCTTTCCCAGGCGTGGTTTTGTCAAAGTTAATCAGTACGTGAAGTTTGTTAAACTACAGGGAACACACAGTATATCTACACTATTGCTATACACTATTTTCAAACAGAAGTAGTGTATTATTATATCAACTATTGTTATTTACAACTTGTTCATTCCTGCTGCTAGGTGGATTATTTACATGGATACCTACACATATTTGTCTCAGTGAAATTGTGGCTCGGATGAGACTTCACCAGACTACACACATAGCGAGGACATAAATCTATCTAAACCTATCCTATAAACACCTCGAAGCAATACTCTATTACTTTCGGTAAATGAAAATAAGTTCAAATATATTTCTCTTAATCCCAGGATTTTACGGCTAGATTCTCGTGCCAAGCACGATGTCTGCTGTGTACGCATGCGCAGTTCTATCTCTTGATAAAGCAGACATGTATATTTGTATGACAAACACAGACTTTGCAAACTTTGATATTTCACCCGCATGATAAGAGTTCACGTTGATGGTGTTTTTCTCACATAGTCACTGAGGGATGTGATAGGATCTCCAGTGCTAGTGGGGGATGCGATCTTTGGGCGGTTTAAGCCAGGACTAGGTGCCAACTTCCCGGATTCTTTCCCCGGTGTTGCTGTAGAGGTAGGTACTTTCTTCGTATCATCAGCGGGGCTAGATTTCGATATCTGTTGACCGCAAACTCTGTGATGATTTTCCCAATCTTTATGTTGACAAAATGCTCCACAATATCGAGCCAAATTACATCCACTGCACGTCTCGTTTGCTTTACGACCGCAGTTCCAACAGTTCTGAAACAAAACAGGTCATAGTCACGGAAATGGTAACGTCTCACAGTATACGAGCCAGCAAGACACAGGATGTTACCACAAATCAATTTTCTGACACAAGGTGGGCTTGCGTGTCACTGGTGGTCAATCAGTTACCTATTTTTTATTAGACCTACTCTCGTATTTGACGTCCGGTAATTAAAGTGATCTTGCTAAGTTTCTATATTTCTAAGGTTGACCATCATCTGGCTTACTATACTTATGTTAATTTCTGACTTACCTCACTGGAGTCCGACTGCCTGTTAATCATTCCCAATGTTTCTTCAATAGCTTGACGTCTTGCCTCCATCACAGCTTTATCGACTTTATTTTGTGTTTGCCCTACAGCTTCATTTGCCTTCTCCTCAGCGGCCCTTACTGCTTTCTGTAGTTCTACGACAGCTTGCCGCTTCACATCACTCACCGCTTCTTCGGCACGACGTTTCACGTCAGAAACTCTTTCCTCTGTTTGTTTGATTGTCTTCGATACTAGATCATCTGCAGCGGACAAACGACAAATGTTTCTTTAAATATATTTGACGTTTAGGGTAAAAACTTTTACTCCTTTAGTCTACTAGAAAAATATTATCTGTTTTTGTAAACAAACATACGAATCGTCCGTCAATGCCCTTAAGCATGTAAGACGACGACAAACAAACTCGTTGAACAAAATGACTGTAAAGAAAATTTATAATCGAGGTTATATTATAAGACAGGGCTTTATGGTTGAGAAGAATTCTAGGACCCAATTTGAAATATTATCTTCATTGTATTAAAATAACCATAGTCGTCCTAAATAACGGTAGTTGGTTATAACTAAAAGTGTAAAATTTAAGGCTGTTTCTTGTCCGCTCCCCGTACTAGTTTAAGCTTTGTTTAAGTTCGCTATTATCTGCGCAGTACTTGCAACAGTAGTTCGTCTTCAAAATGGTCGATGTCATTTTAATAACATGACTCGTTCTCCTTGTGTTTACATAAATAAACAAAACTTCCACGTTTCGTGCGAAGGCTCTAATTTGTTGAGAAGTTAGTGGCGCCGCAGCTGTCTCAAGCATGATTCACCCCTAAACATAATTCGTCCCTAAACATGAATCGTCCTAAAACATGATTCGCCCCTAAACATGATTTGTCCCTAAACATGATTCGGATTCGTCCCTAAACATGATTCGTCCCTAAACATGATTCGTCCCTAAACATGATTCGTCCCTAGCATGATTCATTTCTTACTTGCACGTCTTTTCACTTCCTGTTCAGCTTCCTCTGCCGTCTTTCGTGCCCAGGCTACAAGTTCCTCGCGGTCTTGAGAAGTACGTTGTTGTAAAACTGTGATAGCTCGCTTGGTTTTCTCTACCATACCCAGAATGCATTGCAGCATCTACATTCATAGAAACGAACATTAAACCGTTGGCGTTGCACTTATGATCAGACGCAAATTATTTCATCACAAAAATATCCAGTTTCAAAATCTTTTCCTATTGCTTTGTGGCAAACCATGTGAAAAACGCAAGAAATGAAAAAATATTAGTATGTACCGTTTCCACATGTCGCCAGTCATCAACGTCGCTAGGAATCTTGGGATCACCAAAAGGATCATGGGAACTAGTTTCTCCCTCACGTGCTCCTAAAATAATTAGATTGATATTTTGTAGTTTTGTTGCTTGATAGTTTTGCAATCCCAGCATGCAGTTCATACCATGAGCAAAGAATTCAGTACGTGGTCCAGACTTAGGAAATGATTCACTTGCACTGCCTGTACTACTGGTACCTGTAAGAAATAAGATATAACTTACTGAGTCTGAGCTCATCCCCAAACTTGCACAGCAGAACAAAATGGGGTTTGGTAACTTAAACTTTCCTGTGTTTGTAGCAGTCCAACAATACCAACAAATAAAAAAGCAATACTACATACTTAAACATGGTCTTTTAGCTGGGGTAAGCTTTTCAATGGAATCCATTACCTGATGAAAAAATCATATCCAATTATTAGAACTATGAAAACAACCAATTAAATTAATTTTATTAAATAGAATTATTGTGTTCTCTCATGCTACTTTATAATTGACATTACTAACCGACACTAAGTCACTGCCATTTTCTTTTGGTCTAAAACAAAGAATGGAATGATAAAACATCTTTTACTTAGACTTTTCACAGATCAATCACCTCAAAAGACAGTTACATGGCTGCAGATTACAATTAATAAAGAAAATAAAACTGATTTCAAATCAAAAGATCAACATACCTTGTGCTATCAATGGATTTTCTTTTGCCATTTTCATTAAACTCCCCGCCATTTGCATCCCCTTGTTCAGACAATGTTGGTTCACGATCCTCTAACAGCTGCGCATTCTGACTGTGTAGGTATTGGTGTGGAGTTTGTTTTGCCATTTGGGCACATTGAAGTAATTCTCTTTGCAGTAATGGCAGGTTGGCCTGTGGCAAACAGTGAAGTGGGTTGTGAAAAACACCATGCATATTGCCATGTAAATTTTGAAGAAACTTATGTCTAATGTAGTACACTATAAAGAAGAAACAATACCTTGAGAAAAGGAATAACAAATGGACGTAAAGGAAAATTTGTTGCTTCCTGTAGCTGTTGGTGAAACTCTTCAATTGACACAGTAGAATTCTGATGAGAAAAAAAAATGTGGTGAGTAAACTGAAACACAGACTTGTTACAAGACAACAAATTGTGGTCAACTTGGCAACCAATACAACACATAATGAAATGACATTTTCTCACTTTGATAACTGCAGGTTGACCATCATCAGTCATAACATATTGCTTCATTAAACCCTGAGTGGATCAGTGTTGCAAACTTACCACTAAATTTAAGACAAGACCACGAACTCTCTCTCCAATTTCAGGGGAAATATCTGAGCCAAACTGTTGCAAGGTTGTGAGGAAACGCTTCAATTTGCTGAGTTGTCTTGCCCCACATGCGGGGGGTAGCTGATTTGCACCATTGCCAACAGCAGGGGGTGATGTGGCACCCAGAGGACTGGTGTGGGAACCATTCACATGAGGTGATGTTGAACTGACAGATCTTGTGTCTGCAGTTACTGCAGAACTTGAAGTCACAGGTGACACTGAATGTCGAGGTGTAGGGTGAGCTGTCCCTTCATTTGGTGAATCTGGCATTCTTGAATCATGAGTTTCTAAAAAGACATCAAGGAATATCAAGACATTGTATGCAGGAACCTTGCCAAGGAAACAAAAACATGTTTAATGTTTATGCAAACCTTTAATGTTCGTTAGAGCAGTTGACAAGGCAGTTGACAGGTATTAATTAGCTCAGCAAGTCATGTTTAACTGGTCTCACTTTGATAGTTGAGACAGACATTTCAGACATGAATGTTTAAATTTCACATCAACATTGGACATGTTCTCCTCTAGGGTGTTTATGTTTAATGCAGGCTGCAAGCTAGGCTGTGTACAGGCTAGCTGCAAACAAGGCTCTTTATTTCCGGAAGAGTCTGCTCACAAGCTAAATTTCATGTTAATTATAAAATCACTAAAAGTGAAGTTTTGAAAAGATACAGGACTAATTTTTCTTTTCATGTTAAATGATCTGGTCAATGTATGGATGGCGTTGTGAATGTTTGTTCTTGTTGGCAAATGTCAACATAATATTTGACAGTATGTCATGAACACTGACATAACATGTTGAGAATTCCCAGGATATGATGATAACCATACACACATTTGAATAAACTTGCTTCAGTATCTGAAAGAATTGGACTCTCTCTGTCTATTTGTAAATAATCTAGAGTATTAGGTACTGTAGTTTGTTTGAATTAAATTACTTCCTGAAAAAGATTACAAACACATCAGGAAGCTAGTACCCAAGCAGTTTTTTTGAGAAAAGTGTTTAAGGTAGCTTGATACATTAACTAAAAGCCAATAACTATGTATTTCTTTCATAAAATAATCCTCCAAATAATCCCTGTGAAGTCACAAATTTTTGGTCTAGGTTGATTAATCTCTTTTGTTATTATTGGCTAAAATATCTAACTGAAATATCTAACTCCACGGGATATATCCAAAGGATTTTCCTGTTGGAGTAACTGACCGACGTATAACCTTCAGGGTCATAGAATAATAAACGTACGTGTTATGTTACATAATATGGAATACTGGAGAATAATTCAAGTTCAATTATTCAGTGATATAGTTTAGTTTTGGTGCAATAACCTGAGCACCAGAAACAAAGCATCTTTAGTCATGAACTATTCAAGCAGGAATTACAAACCAGATGTTTTTGCTACATGCAGCTGTAAGCTGAAAACACATCAACTCGCATTCGTACGTTATAAAAACTATGCAGTATCTTCTACAAATATCAGAGTTAAAATATAAACTCCACTCTCTAAGACAGGGGAAAAAAGTTCTTTATTGAAAGGCGGTATTAAAATTTCTCGGCTGGCTGAGTTTGCATACATAATTTATAACCGTAGCCATATAAACGTTCGATAATGTCTGAAAGCCAACAAAATATTGAGATAGAACTGCATTCTGGTTTTTCAGGAAATGTTCTTTGTTTCGGGGAGTAAAGGGAATATAGGATGGTTATTCTCTTCATTTATCTGAAATATAATTTCTCTACACCCTGTATCATAACAACCAAGAAATGTTGATTAAACTTCTTTAGCCTGGAGGGCGATCTATCTTGTACTACGCCGAGTCAAATTTGTTACATTCAAGACACATAACAAAGACCTAAATACTCAAATATTTCTCTATAAATACAAGTATATAATGAAATATTACCTGCAGTAACTGCTGGCATCACATTCACTTTATTTCGCGAAATATTTAAGGTTTTCAAGACGTTTCAAACTACACGTCCTCTCTACTTCACAACACAAAGCTTAGTGACGTCACATTCTTTATGATCACATGTCCATGGCCGACATTTTCTTTGTTGTGTCGGAAAAATTTAGCATGAAATTAAATTGTTAATGCTTGATTGCTTTGCTGCTTGACAACAAAACACGAAGAAGACAATTGCACATATAATGAAATTCAAGATTAAGTGTCGTAGCTTATTTACGGCTTAGAAAATAACTGAAGAAAAACTACAGGATTTTGCATCTTTGCAACATCAATTCGGCTCGTGATTAAAACAATAATAGGCCTAAATATTATACAGCGAAATAAACGAGAAAAAATAATCCTATCTATAAAGCCTGAAAAACTATAAAACGCTTTCCCTGTTTAATAAAAGAGTGTTTGCTTTTGTCTTTTTGGACAAGATAAAAATTCAATTTCGTTGACATGAAAATGTTTATAAATTATTATTCTGCCCTGTTTTAATTTTGTTGTTATTTTAAAAATCACAAGCAGTTGGCACAAACACAAGCTCTATAGGTAGCCTTAGGTCAGAATAAAAGAAAACGAAAGAGGAAGTATGTATAGTATAGCCTCTACAGGTTTTGTAGTCGGTCAAACCGAGCGAGTCAGTTTAATCCCAAAAAATCGTTGTGAAAAGTAATTTACATAGCGCTAATATTCTGTGCTCTGGGCAGCTGGTCGTTCACCTGCGTGTGAATAAAAATAGAGAAACGTATTACATATGTTGATGGCATGCTTATTTTAGACGAAAATTAAAATCATTTGAATTATTCACGATACTTCGGTTGCCCAGATACAAACTACAAGATTATAAGCAATTCAAAAATTGCAAGCCCTTAATATAAGGTAGAACTGCAACTGCTTTCCAATTTAAAACTGCTTTTGCGCTTTCTACAATTTGTAGAAGCTTAGGAATAAAATCCTACTGCACTGGCTGAATAATTGCTTTAATTTTAAGATTGCAAGCAAATGTGGTTTGACGGGGCAATTTTTTTTAACTCGCAAAAACACTTCAAGACTAATGACTTTCCGTTAAAATGCTGCAGTAACATTTCGTATTTTACAGTGCCAAAACAAGTATGTTGTGCAAGTCAAGATACGAGATGTTTTGGTCAGTTTTTCTTTTCTATGTCAAAATGTCAGGCATAGCGCGATCAGTCACTATATAGGGCTTACGTTATTTTATCACAAAATATGACATGGGCTTTTTATGATAAATATTTAACAACCTGCACACCATATGCTTAGGAAAACCTCGTGCTCTGATTGGTCAAAATGTAATGGCGCGAATATTCTACAGCTGGTCCAGTGTATTATCTTTTACCCCCATCTGCATGCTGTACAATATGGCAGAACATTTCGACTGTTACTGTGCTCAGAGAACACTAACTCTCACTATATACATCTAATTCTTTTCTACTTTTGAGAAAAAGCTCTTCTGTAATCAGAATAAAATTTTTGGTAGTTGAAATTCTAAGATTTAAATCATTAACCTAAAAATAGACTGAACGTGTTTGGCTGCTTGGTCGCAAGCTAGCAACCGAAATTGTTTTTAAATACTTGAATTTATTTTAATGCGTATGCTTTGAATCGGCAAGTTAAACATACGGAAAATAATGTTTAATGATAGAAAATTTGGAAAAAATACAGAAATAACTGCCAAATGCAACATATTACAGCGAAGTACGGTACCTTGTCTAATATCTTGTGTCTTTAACAAAGGCATGTGCAATTTTTCTCAATTTTACGTGGAAATATGAACCCAGTGTCTAGTAGTGGATGCTGTAATATATCCAGTGACAGGCAGTCTTGGAGATATTATTTATATGCAAATGATTGAATATTGCTGCCACCTGGACATACGGGACTTCCTCCCTTACATCTGCTCCAGCTGCCACGCTCGTGTCCACTACGCATGCGTCAGACTGCTTACATAGCGCAGTTCACGCGGTATTTTTCTTCTCGCGCGTCGTGTCATATTATCAACTCTTTCGGCTTGTGTCTGAACTATCTGGTAAGATAAAAAAAACGTCGACGTTTTGAGCGAAAGCTGTTCTTCTGGAAGCCGAGCCACTAACTTCCAAACAGGCTCGAAACTGAAGAACATTACCCACTCTCGATTCCCACGTTTGGAAATTCATGTATATAGAATAAGAAACAAGTACAGTACAGTACAGTGCAGTACAGACACACAAGCCTAGTTTCCATATGGTCTAACGGTCGTAAAGATCGAGTCACGGTCTTTCTCATCAGCCGAAATAGAACATTTTAGAACTGAAAATACGCGGAGTGATTATAACTAGAGAATACTTATGATTTATATGTGGTTTACAGGTATAAACTATTAGAAACTGGCCGTTGAGAAAGATCGTAACTCTATTTTCACGACCATATAAAAACCAGGCTTTTAAGGTCGCGCAGCACAAATCTAGTAAATCCTAAGTGTCGAAATATAGAATGTACTCAATTTGAAGCATCCCTAGAGGCTCGAGATATATTAATGAAAAATACACTGTATGCTGACCATTTCTGGGCTATGCTCGTAGTGTGAGAGGCCTTTTTTCAGGTAGATAAAAATTATGGTTCAATGTTAACAACACAATACAAGACATAGTTGTCTTATCCATTGATGATATATCTTCCAACAATCATTTCTCATTATTATATTTACAAAGATACAAACATATATTATAACAGTTAATTATATTGATAATTATATTCAATTTATGGTGGAAACGGTACGGTTATATCGATAAACTATCACATCAAAGATTTTAATTTAGGCCAGCTCCTTCCTTCCGTAAAGTGCTCAATCTTGGCTATAGAGCCTCGTTTTCGTGATATTCGGTTAAACGCCCTTTATCTTCATACAGGTGATACATTTGCGAAACCATACAGTTACATCAGCGAACATAGAAGATCTGTTTATGCCATCAGTAACAGGAATTAAAGGCTCTAAAGACAATGTCTCAATCACATGCAGAAACGAGGCTCTATAGCCACGGCTAAGTTCTTTCCGGAAGGGTGTATTTCTAACACTGGAGAAAGATCAATGTTAAAGTTTTAAAAATTTCACGACCTGCACTACGCATTGAAAAATCAACATATATTTACAATCATATCGTGTGCAGACGAAAATTGAGATATTTCGAATATATACCATATATCTGAGATATCTAATACAGCAGCTATATATTACTGGAATAATTCACACACTAAGGAACCTGCCTTAGATTATTTGACAACAGTTACTAGTCACACGTGAAACTTTAGGATTATTAAATATGGTACGTACGGCCACAGCGTCTAACTCTAATCCTGTTCCCTTCGTTTTCATATACATCTCAATTTCTTCGATATCGCTGCCTCGCAATCTTGTTGTATCACCATTTGCGTAACTCTTAGTTTCCTCGGCAGTGATATCTACGTTCTCTTTATCTGAAATGCTCTCCAAAGTTTCAATAGTTAAACTTCTTTCTTTAAATATTTCCATTATGTGATCATCAACATCATCATTTCTTGTCATCACATTGTCTGAATTCTCCTCTTTTTTTGCACCGTCGCACACTAGATTGGTTTCACTTTGTGAAGCTTCACATTTCAAGACCGTATCTCCTTTATCTTTACTCACGTCACCAACCATATATTTCTCATTCCACACATTTTTCTTTCTTGCCGTGTGGACCTCTTCCGAGTTTTCATTCGAGTTGTCTGCGAGATCTTTTCCCAGAAATGTTACTTTTTTCTGAGAGGTTGTTGCAATATTTTCAAAATCGTTCGTCCTACTTTTGAAATTTGACGTACAGTCTTTGGATAGCATTGAAAGATTTTCAGAATCCACCAACATGTTCTCAGACTTAACATTATCTTGTGACTTTGTGTCGGAATTTATACACTCATCTGGCTTTGCCACATTTTTAGAATTACTTTCAATGTCTTTAGAACACTCTAAGATATTCTCTGAACTTGCCACACTCTCAACACTGGTCTCCATATTACTTAAACACTTTCCACCGATCGAAAAATGTGGTCTCAAGTTCTGTTGATTTGACAAATTTTCAGAACAAAGGAGTGGTTCTCCATTATGAGAAAGGTCTAACAGATTATCAGAAAGATCAGTTTGACAACAGCTAGCTGTTTCCATCACCGTATTTTCATTTTCTGCACTGCTCGTGTTTTGGTCTTCATTCAATTTTATATAAACATTCAACAACTTATCTTTAAGCAGTTCAGAATGTAGTCCCAACTGTGCAGTTTTCCCTTGTTCATTTGAACTACTTCCAGATTCTGAGCTAGTCTCTTTATTGCAACCACTCTGTTGCGGTTTCTCGCTCATCATTTTCTTTCTGGCCACACCATGTGGTCCCCTGGTACCACCATCACCATCATCACCATCACCTTCATCATCACTGCGTCTCTTGGGTGATCTACGACATCTCTCTGTACTTAACCGTCTCATCTTCTTGTCCAGATCACCATCATCTTCAGAACTACTGCTATGGCTGGATGACCTCCGTCCTCCCGTGGAAGATGCACCAGATGGACGCCTGGTTTTCAGAATAACATTCAACGGCCGACGTGATGATCTACGCACACGAGGCGAGGCCCGAGGACTGTCATCTAAATCAGACTCTCTTTCTTCCGAGATCTGATTAAGAAATGCTGGAGTGCTCTTTACTTTTGCCACACGTCTCTTCTGAAATGTTTTTCTCTGGTTACTCGTCACAGCAACTGAAACAGCACCAACTATCTCCTCCTGATCATGCTGTTTATCAGACTTCTTGATATCGTCGTATATTGACTCATTTGAATGATATCGAAGTTTACTTGTCATTAGATTCATACCAATATCGTCTTCTGGCTCATTCCCATCGCTTAGAGGTAGCTCCTCTACCGAAGGTACACTCAAAGTTTGGTCACCATCTGAGAGAGAACTTTTTGTCTTTTTGGGTGGCATACTTTGCCTAGATGTAGGTGAAATACATTCTATTTCAGCAAAAAATAATTGACACAGGAAAACGGAGTATTTCAACAAAATATATCAAACAGTCTCATAAGAACATTGACTATTCTCACATGAACTTTCATGTTTGTCAAGATTCAAAAGCATTAGCCAATTACTTTTAAACAGTATTATGTTAATTGTATAAACGAATTGAAACCTTGAATGCTCATTGCAAACACTGAAATTTCACTTGAGTACAAACAATGATTTTATCTGCACTGATCATCCTTAAATGCAAATGAATGGCAATTATGAAATAAATCAAAATGCAAAGATGACTTAAACTGCTTCACCTACCTTTTTACAACATGTGATTTGACTTCAGTGTCTGGTCCAGATGATGAAATTGATGATGATGATATACTTCTATGCCAACGTAAACGTCGTAAGATTTGCTCAGCCAGTAAATAATACGTAGCAGAGACATGATTATACGACCCTGACTCCAGACATCTAGAACACAAAATTTATTATCACAACAAGCACATCTTAGAGAAAGCAGACAACAGCAGAACAATGAATAAGGATAAAAACTAAGTACGAAAAAGCATCATTGATTTGATCGATGATCTGGTTTTCTGCACTTCACTTGGTAATATTAGAATGCTGTTTTTAGGGTTAACCCTAAAAACAGCATTGATTTGATCAGCTTGTCACACTCAAATAGCCTCACAATGAACTGATTGAAATTCTTTCATGTGACAGACAATGTTTTTTTATATAAAGCCTGGTTTACACTATCAAAGTTTCTGTGATCACAGTAGGAATTTTGCATGGGTAAATTCTGTGTTTTGAACGAAATCCTGTGTTTTGTAGGAATTCTTTGAGTGAACTGACTCGGTGTTTAACACTAAGTCAGATTGCTCAAACATTTCTTACAAATCCTTCAAAATTTAGAATTTACAGATGTCAAATTTCTACTGTGATCACTGAAACTTTGATAGTGTAAATCAGGCTTATTATGAATTACTTTGTGATTGTCTCAAGATCTGCAATATCTCCAAGCTGCATTTTCTCCACAATCTCATTATGCTGATCTACACCAATCTTCACTTGATTTGCTAATGGTATCGATGTCACAGCAACTGGTCCGTAATCCCCTTGTACCCATGGATCACCCAAAATATCCTCCAATACAGCTCTCTGACAAGCATCTCTGACGATCATCCGTGATATAAGACTGGTGAAAAACATGGGTGATTATTATTAAATATAAAAATATTACACTTGGGCTAAAGATTGAAATGAAATGATATAATTTGATTTGCATACTAAATATTTTGATATACCTTTGACAAGCAGGAGATACATGATCAGGAATATGAAATTTACAATCTAAGATCATGGTTAATGTCTCACTTTCATTCACTTCGTAAAATGGAGCTTTACCAACAACCATCATGTACAAGATAACACCAAGACTCCACACATCTGAAGCAAAAAATACAACATTTGGAGTAAAGCCTGGAGTAGGATTATAAAATACAATATTAGGTGTAGAGCCTGGAGTAGGATTATACAATATTAGGAGTGCAAATACCAGGCTGAGCTCCTAAGCTTAAATGGTCTTAATCAGCACAAGCAAAATTGATTAAATCCATTGAGCACCAGTGCTCTTCCCTTGATGAATGCAATCGTCCAGCATTGGACAAAGTAAAATAATATGTTAGACAGAGTACAATAAATATATTAAATATAAAGTGGTTAATTTATATTTTTGGATTGGATGTTTTTCAATTTGGATTGATTTGGCTTCAGATTTCTGATGAACTAATCATATTTACTATGATTATCTATTGATTATATATAAAATTCCAAATCAAATTTCAATCAATCACTGTATTTAAAATAAATACAGTAATGTTTTAAGGGAATTAAAAACCTTTTAAAAACCTTGAATTTATGCAGTACATAAAAATACAAAAATATACTTGCAGGAATGTATATGCTTTGTAAGCTATGCAATCGTGAAAAGCTAGGTAAATATAAAAAAATTAGCTTACCGACAGCCGGCGCGTCATAGGAGTCACCAAGCAAGATTTCCGGCGCAGAATAAGCTAAAGAACCACAAGCAGTTTGCAATTTTGTTCCTGGCAAAAATTTATTTGAAAATCCAAAGTCTGTAAGCTTAGCCACGTCGTGTTTCTTGAAGAAAATAACGTTCTCTGGTTTCAAGTCTCTATGAACAACATAAAGTCTGTGACAGTAGTCGATAGCTTGTAAAATTTGACGGAAATATCGTCTAGCCTTGTCTTCTGACAGCCCACTTTCATGTTTCATAATATAATCATACATATCTCCTCCATCTCCTAGTTCTTGCACAAGATATAGCTTGGTTTTTGTGTCTATAACTTCGTACAAACGTACAATATTTGGATGTTGTACAAGCTTCATGCAGCGAACCTCTTGATACAAATGATGTTTAGCTGTCTCATCCAGCTTCAATTTATCAATCACTTTTACCGCAACTCTCTCTCCTGTAAACACATGTCTTGCTAGCTTTACCTCTGCAAAATGACCAGAACCTAGTCGTTCTTCTAAGTCGTACATACCAGCTATCTTGCTTTCATTTCGTCGAGCTTGGCGAGTAAACTTCGCCATTTCTTGTGTTGTATTTTTTCACGTCGGAGCGAGCAAAATATTTCACCTCCTGGGGACGAATTAGTTATTTCTCAACCAATCAAAATCGTTTAATCTAAGCAACGGGTCTTTAATATATGGAAATTTTCACGTGAAATATTTCCCTTTACGTATTAACAATCTTCAAAACACTTTTTAATTTAAAACATTTTGCTCGCCAATAGACAATAGTGTAAGCTTACATCCTTTCACTCAAAAACTGTAATATGCCAACGTCAGATACGTTAAAAAAATTGTTTCTTTTTCCAATTTCATGATCTATGAGTATGCATTTGTTAAATGACTTAAATATGTGGGTTATGCGGCAATACCACTGTGACAAAGAATTATAACCGCAATTTTCAAAGAGTTTATTCACAAAGAAGGCAATTTAAAAATGGTAAATTTAAATTTATTTCCTGCTAAATTAATATTTCTCCGGTGTATTGAAGATCATTTTATAAAACTTTGACAAACTATTTGAAAATTGATATACAGTTTCGCAAAATACTACCGCACAGTGTCAGCATATTAACTGTGAAAAGTTTGCAACCACCACAAGTGAGGTATATAAATGAATATTTCTAATTTTTCGGATTAACACCCTGCTTAACCGCAAAATTAACATTTCATGTATTTTATTCAAGCCACGGAGTCTTACACGAAAATCAAAGATAGCCATATACAGAGCCTGAAATTAATTTAGTTTTGAAGTTTATGATAACAAACTCTGACAACCAAATTTTTGCACTTATCACTTTTGTTTATCGTAGTTTTTAATTTGCGCAAGTCGTGATGTAAATTATATTACACTTTTTTGGCGGTAATGAACATAAATTGGAACCCAGCAGAAGTTCGAGTTATCCCCACTGATAGTTACACATTCTTCATTTATTCAGATCAGTGATGGCAAAATATTTCTATCAAATTCAATTTTATAATCGCGCTGTGATGACTGATGAACGAGTACTAGGTTCACTCTGAATAAAAACTGTGAGGCCAAAACGCTACAGTTTATTGAACTGGTTCATGTCCCAAATACAGCTCAGACAAGCAAAAGTACGTAGGTTGGGATTTCAATATGGAATTGAACTCAATCCAACGCTAAGAATAGTTGTTTGAAGAGTTGTCTTTGAACAAAATATTAGATAAACTTTAATAAACAATAACAAATTTATTTAACTGAATAATACAAATATTTTCAAGTAAATCTTGCATGTTCTTCACAGCTGCACTTCACTAAATATCAGCTCAGGAACTGCCATATATTTCTAAAACAATAAGGTCAAAGTATTAATGTAAACACAAATATAGATTGAGACATAAAAAATCTGAAAAAAATCCATGTGAAAGACTGCCACATAAGTAAAGTCTTACTAGGTTTCCCAGGTTTTCCCTCACTCCACTGTGTAACTTTAATGTTAGTTTGGTCGAGTCTTGATGTGTCAGTTTTGAACTCAGGCTTCAAGCATCGTCTCACAGCTCTTGCACAAATGGCAGAATATTGCAAGTAGCTATTGGAAAAAAATAAGTGTCAATAAAATGAAAAATGGTTCGGACATGCACAAGATACATCGAGTAGAAATTGAAGTTCTGCCAAAATTTTTATCTTGTCATTTATTGGCCGTTTATAATTTGCAAATTATGATATTTAAAGAAAGTCTGTATAAAGTCTGGGCAAATTCATACACTTATAACAAGCAAATCATATCAATTTTTCAAAATTTTGAAACAGAGATAGTTTATTGTATGTCTTAGGTATTTAAAAATAATATTTGATGCAAAAAACAAGCAAAAATATTGAAAATATACCTCATTCCAATCTGCCTCCAGTGGGAAACCATCTTGATTTTCGCAAGACTGTTTCTGAGACTGCGCTAATGCCGTCTACCGCTGTTCTATCGTACTACAGGCTAAATATTAATTAACATCGCTCAGAACATAGTTAATGCTCAGAATGATTAACAACTAATCTCATTTTGAAGTATGGGAAATATTTGAATGCGAAAGCATCATGTCGTCCCAACTAGACCAAGTCGAAGTAACCGAAGGTTTGAATACAAGTGTTTTTTTCATGAAATCATTTATTATACTGTACAATTCATTAATTTACTTGCAGATCTGAAAGCATTTGAAAGACGTTTGACAGAATATATTTCAGGATTACATCCAAAAGCAGTTCGCTGGAGAAGTACTGTACAAATATTATAAATTAATATTAGATTTATTTCTGTTAATAAGTAACTTTTGTACATTACTCCAGCGAGATATTTAATTTATATTAAGTATTGATGTTTGGTAGTCAATAGTACAGTCTACATCTACAGTTGTTTATCTGGCAGGCTTGTTTGGCTACTAAATGAATTGTTTACACATGTCATTATTTCTGTACTGGTGGACAATATATAGCATTTCTTTGTTTTTTTTTTAATTCCATAACCCAAGACTTTCATCAGTGCAAATGTTATTCATCACAATACAAGCCAACAAAGTTATAATAGTTGGAGGCACAACCAGCAGTATAGCTCAGCAGTCATATGCCGCCATATGTACTATGTCAACCTGTGTTGTAACATCAATTATTATTTTCCTTTAGTTTTGTTTGCCATGTCATTCATCTGCACTGTACTTTCTGCATGTTTTTGGATAACAGATGAAAATATGGCAAAAGTATGTTTGAACAGAATTTTAATTCATTCATATTTCTGCTAGTCACAAATCTGGTACTCAATTCTTAATTTCTTTTGCTTTTTAGTCAACATTCTTGGAGTCTCTGTGGAGTCACAAATTTTTCTCAACTAGTATAATTATTTTAGTCCTACTTTTATTATTTGGAATTCATAAACGAGTCAGAGAACCGCAGACGTATCCTTAGTCTAAAGCATTGTGCATGCTCCGATGTAGAGATGGGCCATACTAGCTTTTTCATTTGATATATTTCCTCAATATTTGCCATTTTTTATATCAATATTTTCCCATTTTTAATTGTATTGGTTACAATTGAATAATTAAAGACCATTTTTAATTGTATTGGTTACAATTGAATAATTCAGTTTTCAGTGATTGTAACCAACATAACCACAAACTTAGATCCTGCCTGTGGACCATTATAGCATCACAGAAAATGAACTACTTTATGTATTTATGCATATTTAGGCTTTTTGCAGAGGGCTTTTTGGTATCATTTTCATGAGAAAAAATATTGCAGGCCCAGAACTATCGAAACAATCAATATTTCTTGCTAGTATCGATACTTTTCTTCCAAACCCTGGTATAGATAGTATCGGGTATTTGATATCGGCCCATCCATACTGTTGGTTGGATACCGGTACATTTACTTATATTTTTCCTTGATCACAGAAAAGTATTTTAAAAAGATGTCGACTGGTTCTGGAGGATTATAATATGTCATGTGATGATGTGAGTGAATTCAGAATTCTTGCTTGTAACACACTTTCAATATTTGTCTGAAACTATTAACTCATTTAACTGTAAAATTATTCTTTTTAGAGAGGAAGATTAATTCTTAAACCAAGAACTTCAGTTAAAGACAAATACACTGCAAATACAAGAATGGGGATAGTTTTTAAACATTAACACTGAATAATTCCTGTCTTATGATATATTGCTAAGTAAGGTGTAGTGTATTATCTTAACTAAATTGTGATGTGCTGTATAAACATAAATTATTACCAAATACCAATCAAATAACTGGACTACAGCATCATCAAATACGTACATGTAAAAAAGGCGAAGAACAGAACAGAAAATTCTCTTCACAAATTGGTGTATTACAGTATTTTACAAAAACACATCCAGACTTCTTGCTATATTACAATTGTCAAAGTACTACATACATTGAAGTGATAGTTCTAGTGTTGTACTTTAAAGAATCTCAACTAGAGAGGTTGCTCATGGGCAGTTAGCATATAGTCAAGAAATGTATCATACATTTGGACTGAAACTTGGCCAAGGCAACATTGATAGTGTTCATAAAATAACTGGTAACGCCTTTGCAATGCTGATGCTTTCGATTTAGCAGAAGTAACATTGCAAAGATTCAAGTCACATTTTTAAAACTGCATGTAAAAGACTTTCAAAATGTGCTTCTTTCTCTTGATGCCAGGTGTGAACATATTTATAGAATATTTTTTAACATGTTTGGCTATTTTCATCTTTCACATATTCCTTGGTGGACCTGAAAAAGGAGATTTTCAGAACAATGAAAAGAATATTCTGATCACTGCAACTAGAATGGATGCTACTATTCTCATGCAAAAGCCATTAAAATTTGTTGATTACAACATTGGCTAGTAAAGTATAACACTTACCTTGTGGGGGCATCCCTGGAGGAGGCATTTGTTGGCCTTGCATATGTGGAGGTGGACCTTGACCTTGCATTCCAGGAGGGGGTCTCATCCCTGGTGGAGGCATTCCAGGGGGAGGCATTCCTCTACCCATCATTCCAGGAGGGGGCATTGGTTGTCTCATACCAGGGGGACCTGTAGATAAAAATCAACACTGATAAGTGAGACTTCAATATCTATGCTTCTTTTTACACATCATTTCAGGATGAAAATAAAATAACAAACAGCAAAAACTTCTAATCACTACATATGCTAAAAATACTTTAATTCATAAAATTAAAATGTGTTTATTTCCACCTCTGATGGTAACATTGGGTGTCTGGATGGGACAAAATATCTGCACGTCTGTGGTGGAGACGTCTTCTGGAATGATGCAATATACATTCTACTCACCCTGTGGCATACCAGGAGGACCTCCAGGTCGAGGCGGTGCGTTTCCTCGTTGTGGAGGTTCATTTCGACCTGAACAAGAAGTTACGTCAGTTTCTACATTGTCATTGTTCACTAACAAATCACTCATGGTACATAATTTATTCCCCCACCTCCTCCGGGCCCACCTCGTCCTTGAGGTGTCATGACATCTTGTGATGGACCTCCAACACCTCTCACTGGGCCACTCAGACCTACAAAAGAAAAATAAATTAGAAAGGAAAATTTATTCTGAATAATTGTTACAAACATCAACAAAAAATCACACACATGAAATGAAGCAACGTCACAAACCTGCGGGTGCAGAGATCTGAGGTTGTACTGCTACACCTCGACCAGCAGCTCGTCCCATGCCACTTCCTGGTGTAGCACTTGTATTGGGAAGACGTGGTTTATCCTATAAAAAGTTTAAGTTCTTGGGTCATTCCAGAAAAGATCCACACTCCCTCCCATGGAAGAAATTTCTACTGTCCGGAGAAGGGCAAAAATCCAGTGTGGAAATATACAATTACTTTATGGTTTCCGTGTTTGGACGGCCTGATCCAAACATGCGGGAATGTTGCGAGAGTTAAGAAAAGCGAGCGAAATCACGAGCCGAAGGCGAGTGATTTTGCCCGCTTTTCTTAACTCGAGCAACATTCCCAAGTGTTTGGATCAGTCCATCCAAACACGGAAACCATAAAGTAATTGTTTTATAAAATAACAACAACACGGTAGTCTTCCGTGTTTGGATGGCCTGATCCAAACACGGCTTTCGACCAATCAGAATACGCGTTATATACATGTTATTTTATAAGTTCGTATCACGCGGCGGAGATATCAGCGATGCAATTTTGATGCTTTCTATATATTTCCTATTAAATTTTCGAAATCTCTGGCAATTAATAATAGTCAAATGCATTATGATGTCCAAAGGGGGTATGGCAATTAAGTTCCAGTTTCCTCTGTTGAGGTCTGGATGTTTTCTGTAATTGTCATTGTCCATAGATTTCATGCTGCAATTGGGGAACTTGTCATAGAATGGGGACAAAAGGTGACCCTCAACATTTCATCCTTGCAATAAAGAAATATCATTTCCAATAGCAGAATTCTATAGTTTTTCTATGTTCTAAACGTCAGAGAATCTAATCAAATTTAATACACATTTACTTCAAAACACTTACATCTGACACGGGCGGTCCTTCGACTGTCATAGAGACCAAATGCTCACCCCTCAACAAAACCAAACCTAGAACCCTTTTCTCCTCTTTATCCGCGCCTTTACTGCTTTTTGACTTCACTCTTCTGAACTCATCACAATCACCAAGTATTAAATTCATGTGTTTGTCAAAAGCTAAGAAAGATCCGATAAAAACACGTCCATCTTGAAGAGTGCATCGCATGCGATAATTAATATGCTGCAATATTTTTGAACTTTTCCCAATTGGCTGTAAATAAATATCAGAAATAAACATATATTAGGACAGACGAAGGATCTGGCTATCAATATTTCGCGACAAAACGTACCATTTTTGTTTCTTTGAGGCGGATGCAATGCGATTAAAAATATCTTTGACTTCGAAAATTTTCAAAACGAACGCCACTTGCACGTCTTCTACAAACACCACTGACCACAGCTTGCAGGCGTCAAAATAATCAATTTCAATATGGCGGCTGTTTCGTCATCTGAAGATTCGAGCGAAAATACGAGAAATTCTAGATCTGTTTTAGGCGATCTTTTGTCAGAGTTGCATCTTGATTTCTGTGCACAAGATTTTGCCAGTTACATGAAAGTCGACGTTTCTTCCCAGGTAAACAAGGTTATTATGCGGCTTGTGAGACTTGGTCGAAATTGGGCAATGGGCAAATTATAAATCATATTTGATCTGTAAAATCATTATTAGAAGAGGTATAAAACTCACTAAAAATGATTTTCTTGCTTAATATTCAGGTTAAAACCTATGAAGATATAATCGAAGACATGTTAGTTCGTTTAGATGAATTTTGTCAAACTGCAGATATGGTTAGTAAAATAATCAATAGAGTCAATTAGAAGTACAATTATACATCAAATTTGCATTACATGTAAATATGTTCTTAATTGACTGCTTTTTGTTTGTATCGATCAATGTATGTTTTCATTACGCATGCGCATACTATCTAACTACTGGTAGATAGACCTCCCACAATCCTGACATTGTTGTTGGCAGTATAAAATATTTCGTCATAACTAGTACCCAGTAACGTCCTTATCGGGGTCGAGCGTCTGTTCAATGATCTCTGGTGAGAACTGCGTTGCTGACACCCTTCTACAACATTTTCTCACCAATATGGCAACATGTTTGGTGAAATTTTTGGAACTTCCTAAGGAAGTTTTACAAAATCCAGCAAAAAACAAATTTCATCATGAAGTACCTAGTGACAAAACAGTAGAACCCCTGTCACTGGTGTGGGTAACCCTAAGGATATTTGCTTAATTGAGACTCAAGCAGTAATTTCACATTGTTTAGATCCGCAGCGAATCAGGAATGTTCATGACAGATCTCCTACCAAGAATAGTTGCACAAAGTAAAGACCTTCCAGCCATGTTTGAAAAGATTGACCAATTAGAGGTCAGTAGCACTTATATGCATTTTTGTCTTCCATAATTTTAATTAAGCCAATTAGAATGCAATATGACAATTCATTCTTGTGAAACCTTTTCAGAGATTTGTTGTAGTTGTACAAAAAAATGTTGACCAACTTGAAGAGAAAGTGAATAAAGCAGAGAAAGATCTTGGAACATCTACAGTCAGTACAGTAAGAGGATTACTTGGCTCTCTTCCAATCAAGAGATTTCGACAGGTACAACACAACAACCATCACTAGATTGTAGATTGTTTGTTCTAATGTGGATTTAGAACTAAAATTTTATTCCACTTATTGTTATAGAAAAAGGAAGCAACAAAGCCAGCTGATGTTCAGTGGACTCCAGTAGTACTAACAGACTTAAAACAATATTTTGAAAAAGATCAAGCTAGAACAATGGATACAAATAATTCACAATACCATACACCAACTGAAGAAAATAATATTTAAATGATCTTTGTATACTAATTAAACTTAAATTATTGCTAACTAAGTTTATTTAAACCTTGTTCCCAATGTCTTAAAGACAATATAATGGCTAGTCTCTATAAAGTGTCCATGAAGCCAAGGAGTATGTATAACTACACACACTGCAATGTTTATCACCATCTTGCAAACCTGTTGCATGACAATGTGTACTTCCCAAGATTGTGCAAACATGTGTCTCCTATAGCCATTATGGTCTAACCATATACTTTAACAATAAATACAATAATTCTGGTGTACATATATAAGCCAAAACTGTTTATAAATTTATCTAAATTTTCTGTTGGGGTGCAAGAGCAACAAACTATGACACTACAATAACTCGTACATACAACTAGTTTGCTCTGAGTATTTCTACTTCATGGATGTTACTCCTCACACCTGAACTCTGTATTAATTTAAACATCTTTTCAATATACAACAACTATCAATACAAACACATGCTCAAAATGAGCTAATGGTGACATTACTATGCTGCCTTACAGCATCAATACCGAGCAAGGAGACTTGTGAACACTGCTCAATACCAAGGTGTGTCAAACACGGCAAGTTCTGGACAGCGTATTCAACACTGGTAATACTTATTTTAGGACAGAATGTCAATGTTAAGTCTGTCAGCGCCTTGCAGTGTTTCAATGCAAACACCACACCATCATCAGTGATTAACTGGGAACCAAAATTAAATTCCTCGAGATTCCCCAGATACTGTGACGCTGTCTTGAGGCCTTCGTCTGAGATCTTACACCCTTCCAAACCAATTGACAGCAATCGAGGTAGTTCTTTTGAGACATAAATAAACCCTTTGTCTGTGGTTTTTGTATGATCCAAAGTAAGGTGACGAAGCTGTTTCAAGTTCTTTGCAATGTCTATCACACCTAGAGAAATAGATGAGAAATTCAGACCTTGTATTTTGCAGTGCACAACTAAAATGTATATACCCTACGTCCCTACCACATTTTTGCTTTAGACATTGAGTTATTTGCATATTTATTATTAATAAGTTCAACTAATTCATTATTTAGTTAACATTTTGGATATATTTGAAGACTGTCACTCCCTCTCTGTACCAAAACCAAGAGAGTCATTCACCACTCTCCTGCTTCATACAAGATGCAACGTCTGGAAATTATTAAATTTTAAATTAATACATGTTATAGACAGTGAATATTTCTTTTTTACTCACCTTTATTGCTTATCTTGTGACAAAAGGAGAGATTGAGTTGCTGAAGGTTGACCATTTTCAATGCAATTAACGAGGCTCCGGCATTTGTTACATAATCACAATCCATTAAATCTAGGCTCGTTAAAGACTTTGCATTCTCAGCCAGACACTTTACACCAATATTTGTGACATGTTGGTGAGATGAGAGCACTAACGACTTTAGGCTTTTGAGAAACGGGGCAATTTCTGCAAGACCTTTGTTCGTTAGTGGACAATTACGCAGATCTAATGAGACAAGCTTCTTCAAATTTTGAGCAATTGATGTAATTCCCATGTCTTGGACAAATGGACTGCTTAACGACAAAAACAACAAGTTTGGTAAAAATTGTGCAACTATCTTAGCAGTTGTGTCCGTAAGGTTGTCAACAAAACCCATATCTAAACTGGTGAGGTTTGGCAGCTGTTTTAACACTTTCCTAATACAAACATCGCTAACACCTTCAACATCAAACTGCAGCACCTGTAGTTTTACCATGCCCGCAATTTCCAAAAACATAACTTCGATTTCTTCGTCATTGCTTGAGAACTGTAAGTTAAGATTGTCTGAGCCTCCAAATGCTAGGTGTACAAGCTGATGCAGGTTCTCTGCAACATATTTAATTCCTTTGCTTGTGACTAATGGACATTCCTTAACATCAAGATATTTAAGACTAGGTAAGCCTTCAGCAAGAATCTTCACTCCAGCATCTGTCAAGCCATGACTCCATCGGAAATCAAGATGGACCAGTTTGGGCAGGTGGTTAACAAGGTGATGCATCGCATCTGCTGACAGCCAATCACAGCCGCGGAGAACAAGCGACTTCAATTCTGGGCAGTTGAGGGCAATATCTTGCAGGCAGACATCTCTCATATTTTCACACCAAGTTAAGTCAAGTCCTTCTAATCCATGGACATGTTTTAAAAAAGTTCTCAAACCAAACTCTGTGATATTTTCACAATCTTCTAGCACCAAAGATTTTAAATTCTTTAACTTTGGAGCACAAGCTTCAAGAAAAGTATCACTAATTCTTGTACATCGCTTAAAAACTAAATGTTTTAATCTCTCTAGTCGACAGAACTCGCGTTTCAGTTGTAGTTCAGTGACTCTGGGGCAACCTCCAACATTTAAATAAGTTATATCTGGTAGTAACGCAAAAACAACAGAAATGTCTTCAAAGGAAGAGCGTGGACAACTAATGCGAGTTATACGTCTTTTGACCAAACTTTGAATAAGAAGTTCACTACATGTTGGTGGCAACTCTACAGTGACGTTTTTCCAGTGTACAGCCAAGTAAACAACGTCTTTCCACAAGCGACAGACACGGGCGACATTTTGCTTGCCTTGTGTGTCAAGGAAATTAAACACATGTGAAGCTATGTCGGGAATCAAAGGACCTTGGTGATAATATTCGAGTAATTCGACGCTTGACATCACTTTGAGAAAGTAATGTTGTACAAAAGTTTTAAAATTTAATTTTACGTCGTCGACGATATTTCCAAATGGACATTTTTTATAAACTCATGGCATGAAGTTCTTCACCATCTTCGGACTTTTACGTAACATCTTCGTGAAGTACTCGGAACAAGAAATTGATGCTTTTTAAATTTTGTAAAATGCGCATAAAAATATTATACTATCCGTTTTTAATGCAATGCTTAAAGAGAAAAAACAACTTTAAAACAGAATTTCAAATGTTTTATTGTTTGAATCAATTGCACAAAATCATAGCAAAAAATCGATCTCTCAATATGTTCGTTCTTCTTCGTAAAATGTTCGGTGCATGATCGTCAACGGACGGAAGCGGTTTTGAGAACATGGCGGACGCAAGAGAGTTGATGGTTCATAATTTTTCTGAGCGTTTGTTAGATACCGTTGTTCACTTTCATATCATGAAAATGAAAGACAGCTTACTTATATGGATAGGAAAGAAAGCAGAATTGAATTCCTTGTCAGTTGCAATGTGCACCAAATATGTGAGTGTCCACACCCCCCTGGGGCATTAGCAAAGTAGCAAGTATCAAACTGGTAGCAGAGGTTTCTAAGAGCAAAACTTCTCTTTGTAAAATCCTCTGCTTATAGTGTAGTTTATGCTTGAATTACCAATGTCAATAACTCAACAATATTTAATTGTTACCTATGTAGGCAAGCACTCCAGCAGTAACAAATTTATTGGGAGATGTCTCTGATGTGACCTCCAACACACTGGCTCAGAAACTTGGTAAACAAGTTGATATTTACCTTATAAATCAAATTATGAAAATTGTAGTTTGAATACAACTACAAGTCTTCTCAATTTAACATGTTCTCAAGTGTTCCATGTTATTCTTTTCTTTTCAGCAAAAAAGTTAAAGAAGCAGTGTTTTATAAGCTATAATTTACCTCCAGGAAACAACCTACATTCCTTGGTAGAGACAAGATTAGTAAAAGAAATTGAAAATAAACCAAACCATTTTTGAAATATTGTTCAAAGACATTCAGCAAAACAGAAATGTAAATAACTGTAAAAACATAATAGTACAAAAGTACTGGTAACTGGTGTTCTTCTAGACGTTTTTCAACTTTAAATTAATAGTGGCATTAGTGGGAAATTTGGCCGCCATATTGGAATGAAAATAACACCGCTTTAATAATAGAAAACGTGCATTTCATCACATTCTTTATGGTTAAATAAAACAAGTAAACACTTAAAATATACAATCATACCTGGAATTCAGTCCAGTCCAAGTTTTAACATTGTTTTTCTCGGAGTTAGCCGAGCACATCTTGCTCTTAAACGCTTCAAAATTGTAATTTTTAAGATTTCCCGCTCTCAAAATTCTCCCCAATTCTTTCGGAAGTAGATTTAGCCAATCATAGAACGTGTTGGTCGATCGAGTTTTCATCCAATTGCAAGACGTTTTAGGACGAGGTCATTGCATTGAATTTAAGTTACACACAAAAATTAGGAGATATAAGAACAATAGTCAATATCGAGTTGGCGAATTATATTTCTATTAATTAATGAATAGCGTTTATCTTTATTATCTGTTTTTATGTTATCAAAATACTGATGTACAAGTTCATATGACAAGTTAATATATTACATCCTTTTTACAATAACTATCTACAAACAATTACCGTAGTTTTTTATGTACAAACATGATTACGTTAGTATGGTTATGAAAACGACAATTTTACAATTCATGTTTAAACTAACAAGATTGATGTTCTCTACTACGCCCGAGACTAAATTTCGTCAGGTCATCATTAGAACTACCAACCCTGATTAGGACCATTTTCTTGGATTATTGCATGGTTTATGGGAACTTTCGGAATAATGCATCACATTGGCAACAATCATCAATAAGTGAAGTAACTTCGCATTTTCTGGATTAACCAGAAAGACGTGGTCTGTTGGTCAAAATGTGGGAACCCGAGCTGATTATTGAAATTTGATAAACGCCAAGGTTAAGAATTTCGATCAACTTTTCCCGAGATGTAATGAACAACAGCTTTAGGATTGCTGACATCTTCTTGAAGTAAGATATCCACTGCGGCTCTCCATTGGTGAATACTGATACATGAACTCTGCAAGAAGAAATATAATTATCGCACTCATCCTCCACCAATGCTCACTAAAAGTATAACATCATACCTGTTCTAGAGCTGAACAGTCTTTTCCACGACTTAAGTAATGACTTTTCCAGAATTTCAACAAAGATCTATATAGCATGAAAAAGTTTGGTTATTTAGAAATTATATTTTGTTGTTTGACTCCAGTTGTATATTCAATAATCCCATATACCTTAAATTGTCAAGTATGAACCCAGGTTTTTTTAAAGCGGCTTCTTCATTACGAAATGCTTTGAGATATAGTGGCAGATATCCCTTGTCCAACGCAAACATTAGAAACACCAAAGCTGTGTTTAAACAACTCACGTTTTCCTGTAGAACATTGGAAAATATAATTACTGCATGTGACCATGTTTTATCAATTTATCATCCTGTGTATAATTGAAACCATTGTATTGATCTCACCTGTGTTAGTGTCTCGACCGTGACGGACATAATAAGTTTGTGTAATAAATACACACGTTGCCCAAAATTTGACACCATCACTGTTAGATGGAATGCCAGACCTACATTTTAATAGACAGGTATGAAAAACAATTCAAAATACGATGCGTATTTGTTGTGGAAGAGCGAAGCAAAATAATTCATAATACGATGTGTAAGCCAAGCAAAATAATTCCACTTACGTCCAGAGAATTCCTGATGGGAGGAAAAGTGTTCGTAAGACAAAATCAAACATCTCATGAACATATTAGAGTCGACCACATTGCTAGTCATCACCAGAAAAAATTTTTCAAACTGAAAAAAAAGAAAAATTAATCATTCTGGTAAGTCAATTCAACACAACTATCATGCTGCAGCATGTGATGGTCAACCTGCCGTTATGAGAGTGAGAGTGTGAGACAAAAATTGAGAGATGTAGTTTAATATCTTTGCTTCTATAGTTGTCAACATTTGTGAAGTGGACAGTCATGTGTTGTACTGTACCGCTTACTGAGTTTAAGCACTTAAGCTTCGGTCATGATCTCAAATCGATTAAATCTCATCAACTCTCATGCAACTCTTGTTCTCGTTTGACCAGGACACGAGAGTTGAGAAAACTCTCGTGCAAACTCTCGCTTCTCAACTCTCATCAACTCTCATGCAACTCTTGTTCTCGTTTGACCGGGGCATGAGAGTTGAGAAAACTGTCATACAAACTCTCGCTTTTCAACTCTCATGCAACTCTTGTTCTCTTTTGACCAGAGCACGAGAGTTGAGGAAACTCTCATGTAAACTCTCGCTTCTCAACTCACATCAACTCTCATGCAAACTCTCGCTTCTCAACTCTCATTCTCGTTTGACCAATCAACCAATTACCTGTGCCTCCGTAATTACGTCATTAAATTCTTTAAAACCGACGTAATTAAACTTCATTAGTTCTCCAAGTAAATCAAAACTGCTCTGTAGCACTTCCTTGGTCTTCATTTCTTTGGAACAGATATGATCGACAAGTAGTTTCAACAAGCCACGTTTGATGAGAAATATTTGGTCTGCATACGAGGCTTTGCCACGCAGGAAACCTTCGAGAGCACGAGACAGCCAGAATCTAGGTCGAAAATTTTATGACAAAACCTGTTATAAAGAGTTACTTGGTAAAGGCGTCGGCATTTTGATGACGAATTACGCAAAATCATAGGAAAAACCAAGAAGTCGATACTGAACCCAATGTCAAGATATCATTTCAAAAATATCCTTACCTCAAAGACGAGAGATTTGGTACAGCCTTCAATATATCCAAAGTCTTTGTTAGCAATCCTTGTTCTCCTTCACAACACTGCAGACTGTCACAGTTGCTGATTGCCTCAGGAACCGCAAGTTTATTTTGTTCTGAGAAAAGAATACATAGGCCACAGTTGAGTCAGAAACTGCATGCAAGCAACAATACAAATCTTGTGCTGAATTCGAAATTTCCTTTGTATGATATACCCAACATAACAAAAGTGGCATCCATTCACGATCCAATGATTGGAATATTCCATTGTCTTTTTATTGTTTTGAAAATCTCAATGTGCTCCATGCCAGCCAGGCCTCGTTATTTTGACCTTACCTTACCTACGAGTTTTATGACTCTTCAAAATCCTATCCCAGTTAAATTATTTCAGTTTTCAAAAAACAATAACTGTTATTTACCATAAATTAATTTCAGTTCATGTAGCTCTGTCGGTGTGAGTAGGAGGTATTTTTTACTAAAAAAAGAAACAAGTTTTAATTAACTGTAGAAATTTAAAACCTTCAGTTTTGGTATAAAGCTATCAATAAAATTTGCACTCGTATTTTCTGGTCACTTACTCATGATGATCACAAAAACTATGAAGTAAACGAAGAAACTGGATCTTCAGGGCTGACTCCTAATAAAAACAAGAAGAGGTTCCATTAATAATTTATTTCTTTAATAATTTATTCTTTGTGTAAGTTCAAAGTACGTTTTACTAGACATTACTTCATGTGAAAGTTTGTACTTTACCTGTGCACAATGACAATCCTCACTTTCAGATATTTCGCTAAACGAGAAATAAATAATAATTAAATGGCAGAACAAAAAATAGTAATTTGAACACCATGTAGCAATTTATTAAGTTAAACTATTAATGAAAGAACAAGATATGTTTCTAACCTGTTGTCAGTCCAGTTCAGCTCATCAAAAAATATACAAAGTTTGGGGATCAAACGCAAAGTTGCAAGTTGTTCTTGAACCTAATACAAGAAAAGGTGAAAATATGTTAAAGTCAAACAGTAAGCATCGTCCATCAAGGCTTCTTATGACAGATATTACTTACTGAAGTTTTGTATTTTCCTGTGAGAAGCACACACAAAACAAACAGTGCCTCAACTTTTAACATGACATCTTGGAAAAACTTCAGAGACAATGAAAAATATGGGGAGTGTAAAATTGATGCACCATCATCTGCAAACACACAACACATTGAACATTATTTCTTGTTATCAATAGTTGCTTTTTATGATACATCTACAACTCTTTCTGCAACTGTAATTATAGTTCAAAGAGATAACACCAACCTCTGTCTGTAATATCTTCCAATACACCATTGAAAAATGACGTCAACTGTTGCAACCTTGTTGAAGCCAAAGGTGACCCAAGAACAAATGGTGATGATTTATCTGCAAAAACATCAGAAAGTTCTTAAGATAATACAGCAATTAAAAGGGTGAAGTAACAAAAAGTGTTAAATATTCCAGAATGAAGAAAGAGAATACATTACCCATTGATTCACTTGCTAATGTGCAGACTCTGGGCAAAAATTCTGTGATTGAGAGTAAAATTCCTTGGTTGTTGTCAGCAACATCAGCTCGTTCCTGAAACCTCTTGTTTGTATCTTGATTCAATACTGTTAGAATAGAAAGTATAAACAATGTTTACCCATTTGATTGATCTTTAGCAGTATATTTATTAGATATGTAAGTATACTGCTGATGATGTATCAAAATTGATTCAAAATATACAATTAGATTGTTAGAGAATTCATGCACACTAGCTGTTTTGAAATAACATTAAAGTTTATCCATCAGTATCCAACACTTTCCTCACGACAATAATATGTCTTACACAGACCCATAAAATAATGGGTTAATGATATTTTAATGATATTTTAATAACAACTTACATGTATTTCTATCTTCGCATGCTTCAGCATCGGTGAGGACAAAATATAAAACTCGACAGAAATTTGCCAGTTGATGGTCACTCATTTGGGAGACAAGTTGTGGTAAATTATTCAGTTGGTTTAATGAAAGTATGTTGCTTCGATTTCGAAGTACATCATCTAACAGATGGGATGCATATCTAGAACACAAATTATATTATTAGACAAGTCTGGATAAATTGTTGTTTTCCACACCGGGAGTTGGGTGTCCAGAATAAATTGTATCACGGAAATGAAAATCTAACCTTATTCAAATTATTGTACACTTACACATATGTCTCTTTTTGTTTTAATAATGAAAACAATTGATTGATCAACTGATCATTAAGTCCAAGATTTCTTGCTACATTGTTGTTCTAATTGAATAAAATATATAATTAGGCAATAATAACATAGTCCTGTCCTTGTCAAATTTCCACAATGTATATGTAAATATTGCATACTGTACCAACACTTACATAACAATTCATATTGTGTAATAAATCTAGTGCTGATGAATACAGATTTTGAAGATCCTCCACTAAAAGTCAAAATAAATATGTGTAGTTAGAGTCTTTTCCCTATTGGGTCATTCCAGAAAATATCCATACCACCCCCACAGAGGGAAATGGAAGTTGACCCCTGTAACCCCTTTGGATGTCCTAATACACTTACGATATATTATCTTACATATTACTGGTGTTAGGAAAAACAAAGTAACTTAGCAAGGTACATTATACTAGTGATACCAACCCGTTGGTCTGGTTTTAAGATGATCAAAACCATATACATCTGCATAACATAGAATTCTGATCAGAATCTGGAAAACATAAAAACACAAGTCAATCAAAGAGACCAAGTTTTTTACCAGTTAGTACCAGCATTCATGTCCAAAGAACAACCATCCTCCCACAAGTCCAAAGAACAACCACCCTCTCACAAGTCTAAAGAACAGCCACCCTCTCACAAGTCCAAAGAACCACCCTCTCACAAGTCTAAAGAACAACCACCCTCCCACAAGTCCAAAGAACAACCACCCTCTCACAAGTCTAAAGAACAACCACCCTCCCACAAGTCCAAAGAACAATCTCTCTCCCACTCCTCATTCTCCCGACTGGAAATGGTACACGTTCCCCCACAGATCCGTGACAAAGATGACTCAGGAAATTCTTGAAAGTTTGATTGGTGGAAAATGTACCAGACCAGTTTTTTAAACTCAAAAAGTACTTAAAATATTATGTTGTAAAAAAGTAGCAAATTACTACATAGGCTATGATGCATTTGCTGAATCGAAATTCTGAACGCATTTTGTAAAAATGGAAGTATTCTGGCAGCAACTAATAAGGAAAATCGAGAGAATATGGAAAATTATGCACGGCATGTGAATGTGTCACTTCTTATTGTCTACACCGCAACTTGACTTGCTGTGGGTAACCACAAAGGTCGCTAACCAGTGCTTATACGTTGTCATAATACTCCAAAAAAATTCCTAAGAAAAAATGGGGAAAATCACTAATAATATACAAAGAAGTATAAGCTACAACAGCTTTCAATATTTCTGTATGTAAAAGCTACTATAAATATAAAGATACGTAAGAAAGGAGAACTATTATTGAAATTTGAGTTGCGCTTCATCAAATTTCAAGGCTGTCTGCATGAAAGCATGTCGTACCTGAGGTCCAGAGAAATCATTTATTACTGTGCAGAGATCTCTAAGTTTGTTTGTTTCTTCAGGAGATGTCTTTTCAAACATAAGTTGAGCTAGATCCTAAGATATTAAAGAATTAATATCTAGCATTATAAACATGGAAGTTGAAATTATATTCTACACTATAGCTACGTTGACCAGACTTCAGACTCACTACAGTGAATATGAACAAAATACAAGTTATATTTTACTGTATATTTATACAAAAACTTAATTCTCACCTTTATTACTTCCGAACAACGCTTAACATCAAAATTGTGTATGGTACAGCATTTTTCGAGTTCCACAAGCCTCTTTGGAATTCCATGTAGTTGCAAGCGCTTGTCCACTAACTCGAAAAAAATCGGATTTATCTGGAAACATAAATAAGATATTTAATCAAGAATAAACCTAAAAAACTTGGATTTCTATCTCTGAATTTTACACAACAAGTGTTTTCATCAAATTTCCGCAAAGGACGTGAAACAAAAATAATGAGGTCACCTTGAATACATTGAAGCGATGTCCATTTTGTTTCGAATGCACAATGCTGTGTAGAATATTCTTTGATTTAAGTCGTTTTGACATCATGTGAAAATCCACGGTTACAGAATTTTTACAAGCAAACCGACGACCTACACAAGGACATTAAAGTGCCTTCATTGCCGCCGAATTTGGGTTTTTCACTTCGACTTTCCATCTTCGACACAAATGTCCGCTTCAGAGTTTCAACCAATCAGATTCGCCCATACTTGCGTAATTTCGCAACCAACCAATCAGCGTCAGCGATATTATACATATTTTCCCCGAGGGAATTATTGTGGTTTTGCATTGTTCGAATACAATCATAAATACAATATACTCAGATATCCGGTGTTATATTTGTATATATGTGGTTTATGAAAGGGCATAAAAAGGATTTGTGTGGCAATATGTTTATTTTTTGAGATTTATTAAATTTCACGCATTTTATAGCAAATACAAGTATTTTTTTTGGCATTTCATAGTATAGTGGCACTTCGAATTTATAGATTTTTCAATAAATTTCAAATTTGTACATGTTGAACAAACTACACTCCACAGCTTTGCGCACATATTTGGTCGTATGGCCTTCAGTGACCCTACAAAACGTTTGTTCAAATTAAAATACAATAGCGTGCAGTTTGCGTGCAGGTACAATATGGCTTTGCATGGAACTTATGTGCGCGAGAGGTCGGTCCAAAATGCACAGTCATTCGACGGGAAAGTTGGTAATTGATAAACATAAAGTTCAATTCGAGGGACAATCGATAACAATTGTGTCAGTTCATAAGTTACGCAAATATAACTAATCGTGCTGCATCTTGCTAAAACGCGTTGTGGTTGTTCATTTTGTTAAAATAAAATAAAATTATATTAAAAAACCGCAACACAGGTTGAACTTTAACCTCGAGAACGAAATTACACTATTAAATCCTTAGGAAACTCAAAGGAGTATCCGGTCTTACAACTATTTTAAAACAAATTGTTGAAATTACGTTCGGTCTTCGACTTTTACTGCAGAAAAAAGTGGACGTTATATAGAAATCGTTCAGTGAAATGAGAAAACATATTATTTGTTCAAGCCATTGAGGAAACATCTGACATTTGCGGGCAAGCGGGAACAAAAGAGAATCTGGAAGCACCTTTGTGGCAAGCGTTAATCAGCAAAACCACATCTAGAATATTCCGAAGATATCGTCCCCTGGGTTGTTAAACTGAGGTTAAGAACATCTGCACGCAATGCAAGATAAGAAAGTTAGCTTCAGCAAAATGTGCTTTTGATTAAAAACATTGCAAGATTTTTCCGGAATTAACGAATCATTTCTGGAATGTTCAACACGGGGGATTGGAAATGAAACCGCTGCAGTAACACAGCAAGTGCCCATATTATAGAGGTTTCCGTTTCATGGAGCAGTTTTGAAACAAAATATATGAATATTTTTTATATCGAAACAGTGGAACTGCCCACCATAGAAAATCGTCCCTATAATATTACCTTAATCTTAAGTTTGGCAGTTTTTTTTAACATACAACCCGCCAGGTCTAATATCAGTGAGACTAACCACATTGCCATTGGATTATAACAAAGACCGGATACCCCATTGGTTACAAAACAAGGACCATTGTACGGCCACAGGTTTTGTAACTTGCCGTACCCATGGTAATGACATTGTTCTCTTAAAAATTGGGAACTTGGAGAATTTAGTTTATGATTATGAAGCCTACCATCTCATTCCACGTTTTCCAAAGTAGTGTCGTGGGAAATCAAATACGACTAAATATCAAAAATCGCGTTGCGCGTATTGTAGATCGTTCTATGTGTGCACCTTGCGGCCGGGATACAAGGTCAGCCAATTCTAGAAACATCAGTGCACGGTGGGTAACGCTATCTGGCTACAACAGGGCTCCAACTCCTTGTGGTCAGAGATTCAGAGAATTTTCCACACTCATACTGTAGAAAGACACACAAACAATCTTCTTTACATTTACAAATATGAAAGAACTGACGCACTCTGCAGACAGACTGGACTTTTAATGAGGTTAATAGTCCATGGAGCATCACAGCCTCGATATAGAAAAGTCAAACACACTCAGCAATGTAAACGCAGAAAGTGCAAACGCTGACACAGGGCTCCAACTCCTTGCAGACAGAGAATTTTACATATAATGTAGAAAGAAACAAAAATTTCTTTTTTACAAATATGACAATCCAGTATTAGTGTTGCCCAGCGCATCAAACAATCTTTCCAGTTCAAAAGCATCATGTTTCTCGATGGTAAATCCCAGAACACGAGAGTGAATGTAAAATAGTGTTGCCTGTGTCAGATAAAAAATATTCTCCACACCACCAAATTCCAAAAATTTTTTGTAAATGTCAAATTTTCATGCCTAGAAAAAGTATGGGAAATCAATTTATTTGTCTGTTTAATTAACCAATACTCCATTATATTTGGAGATGACCTCTGTGGAGATTATCTCCATGATATTTGGAGATTACCCTTTTTTAGTGGTATTTATGTTTGTTGTGTTTGGCAAATCTTGCAACATAAATAAAATAAGTGAAATAAAAATTACCAAGCGAATGTAGATTTTAAGAAATTTTCTCTACCTTTGTCTTATTTTGCTGCACAGGCAAGTATAGTTTAAACTCTGCGGGTAATTCATCCTCTGAATATAATCTGTCCGAGAAATATACTCGACGAATCCGACAGTTAGCGTGAATCTGAAATAACAAGTAAGATATGTTAATAGTTAGAAAAATAACAATTTCTGCCAATTTCATGTGTAGTTACCATAGATATCTTATATACACTAGATAGTGCATCTAATTATTCTGCAATTCAAAAATTGAAGCCGTGATTGCAGACTCAGGTCGTTCCCATGAAACGAGAAGATTCGTATATTTCCTATTTCTTAAACACGGAACTTAAACATGAAGTTAACCCTATTCCAAATACTTTTTAAACTATTCAAATGATGAAAGTTATTGTTGTTTTTAAGCGTTTATTAGGAAGTGGGAACGACCAACATGGCCGCCATCTATTCAAATGGGGGTAACCGCTGGGATATTCTTGGCTTCAATTTTACTAAAATAGATGGGCTATCTAGTGTATATAAGATATCTATGGTAGTTACTACTTCGAAGTGATCTAATCAAGTCGACAATATCTGCGGTATTTTCAACAGTGATCGTACCTGTACTCTTAGAGTTTCGATATAGTTAGTACCATATGCTCTTCTGGTGAAGTCTGAGAGGTTAAACTAAATGAAAATAATAGATTACACTATGTATCAATTAAATATAACACACCCTATACATATTTGTATTTTTTGATGGTGTGTAATTCATTATTTGATTGGTAAAATGTAGAATTTTTAATGTTTTAGTTAGTTCTTTACTCATTGTATGCAATAGGGTGGAAAACTTTGAAAACTTGTGAACTGCCAATACATGGCATTACCCACCCCTCCCTCGACAATCTCCCTCTAAATAAATAAACTTACAAACCTCCCCTCCCTAATGGAAATTTTATCATGTTTTATCTTGCCACAATATGGCCACATGTTATTAAATGTATAAAATTTTCACTAAAACACGCTCTTTCCTTTGTCTCTTCAATTTCATAGCACATAAAAACAACACATTAACACAAATATTAAATTTACATCGCCAAATTTGCAAAAGTACGCAGCAGAAAAGCGCGGGAAGATTTGGAGAGATTAAATACTACAAAGTACAAAATTCAATCTATTTAACATTGTAGGTGTGGCATTATGAAATAAAATTAAACATTACTTGTATTTGATTCCAGCCGTCGTCTAGTCTCATCGGCATCGTACATATGAAAGGTTTTACACGTGTTGTTGATTGGTAATTTGACGCTCGAAATCGTCGTCGGACGTTTTTGTCATCGAGAACCTGACATGTCAACAAAAAATATAGCTAAGCAACCCGAAACCATTTAGTACAATTAATCCCTGAACAAGTGTTTTTCTCACTTTTCTGCTTAGAATATAGTTCAAATTCTCTTGGTATATTACCTGGACTTCAAACGTAAAATATTTCTTGAGATTTTTAATAATCATGACTAGAAATGGTAGTTTGATAGCGAGCGTCTTGTTTGCCTCTGCTGGACATGTTATAAACGTTGTACTATAAAATCAAAGAAAATCCTATCAGATTTATGAGCTAGTCGGGTTTGCATGGGCTTTAAGTTTAGTTCAGTTATAGAAAATGTTTAAAAGCATAATAAGGAAAAACAGAACTATTATTACTGATGGTTTTAACAAGGATAAATCTCAAATGGTCGCGCACGAAATTGTCCCCTCACCTAACATTTGTACCAACGATTTCTAGAACTAAACTCTGTATATCGTTGTCTGTGATTCTTTTTATATGCCCATTACGAACCTAGAAACACGGCAAATATGAAGGTTAAACATGAACACAGAGAAATACGTATTAGTAATGTAGTTTATAAAGATTTCAGCTCCAAAGCGTGGACAATTGAAAGTAAGATCTGGTCAAGATAAACGCACCTTTTTCTCCCAAATTTGAAGTGGTTTACTTCCAATACTATAAAGAATAGACAGAAATCCAGACTGGAATGTATTTTTAAACATTCTTGATAGGAGTTAAGCAGGAATATAAAGTGTTTGAGTTTGTGTTTATCCACTGCTCAACTCTGTTTCCTTGTAAACTGTTGTGATGATGAATGAGTCTCTAGGTCACGCTGTTTGCACTCGCCGTTGCTAGGCAATCACTTCCGAGCCCGCAAGTTACTACCGCGGGGGTTACAGTACTTCATGTACGAATGTAATTGCATTCTTGCTAGATTAGTCAAATAGACACTTCCCGAATTTGCTTGAGTGCACACGAAACAATAGCTTGGAATCGAGGCGGACAATGTTATTTACAATGATTACATTGTCCGCCTCGATTCCAAGCTATTGTTTCGTGTGCACTCAAGCAAATTCGGGAAGTGTCTATTAGATATCTATTTTAAAGCTGGGTTACAGTCCATTCTGCGCATGTGCGGGCTTTGTTTACAGCTTTTGTTTTGGTTTGGATCCATTTCAATTAGATAATATGAAGTATACGACTATGCACTAAACAAAATGAAGAAACCAGGAGTGAAGTAAATTTTTTTTGTAAATTGTCTTCTGAAAGACGAGCAATTAAATATTTTAACAGACCACCAATGAAAGATATATTGTTGATTTAATAATTCGGCATTTTTCTTTCGTGTGCGGTGTGATTCGTAAATGAAATATCCAGAAGAGGCCGACACAGCAAAGCCAAACTGCCAAAGGTGCCGGGTGCGAGTTCGCAATTGTAAAATAAACTTTGGAAGTGCCAAAGTAATCATAAACCTTTCCTTGGGTTATTTGTTCGTCGGAACACACTGTCAGAGTCATTGTTGCTGTCATGGCAGGAGCACTCGGAGAAATTAAGCTTTTCGCTGGAAGATATGTGGAGACGATATGTTGATGTCGCGGCT